AATTATGTCAACAACCAACTGTCTTCAAACATCAAGCCTGAGAAACACAAAGCAAGGGGAGAGGTAAGGAAAAGTGCCAGATCTAAACTACAGTGTGTATAAGAAGAAACTATACCCTCATATTGGCAGAGAACAATCAGCTGCTTTAAGTGCTTTCATTCCAGTATGCAAGTATAGTTTCTTATCTGGCCATGCTGAAGCACTGTCTGGTTAGCTGGTTCTGAAATCAAAGTAGGGTGCCTGACAGTGGGGATAGGATGGAACAACAATTCAGCAAACCTGAGGTCATGCTCCTGTTCATAATGGCACCACAATTATGAAACAGGCTTTCCAACAACTGAATTTAACACCAACTTCTGTGACATTTCAGGTGCCAGGTGAAGAACCTGCTGTTCTATCCAGGCTTTTAAATAGCTCACATTTAAAAACTGTGCTTTAAATTATGACACTGCTGAGAACTCATCTGGTGTTTGAATATATGTATATTTTGCAGAAGTTTTTTTTTTTTAAATAATTTCTCACTGTAATTTGTTATTTTATTTTACTGTTTTTGAATTTACTGTAAGAATGGAATGTAAGCCACTTGGAATCCTGAAGAACGGGAGTAACATGTAAGTCCTAGTGAATAATAAAAAGAAATACTAAATTTGCCACAGATCCAGACCGTGATGTACAGACAATTTCAGTACATGTTGTTTTTCCCTTTTATTTCATATGTATTTCTATGAGATCACAAAATAACATATCCCATTGAGGTGACTGTGCATTCCAAAGCTTCCATGCTAAGTAGGATTCTGCAGATCTTCAAAGGGTTGCTTCACTTGAATTAAATATTGAATGAGCACTCTCCTGAAGCTGCTTTGCAAAACAACATGCTCCATCCCGTTTCTACCAACAAAGCAGTCACATTGCTTGCTTTGATGCCAACACGTGCCCTTTCAATCAGCTATCGGAAGTATCAGTAGAGGCTTTTGCCTATGTGCCGCACGTGCTCAGAAATAGAACTGCTGGATGAATCGTTTTTTTTTTTTATTTGTAATGTCTTTATTTCTGGAATTCACAGAAGGATATGTTTAATATAACCATGATGTACAATGTGGCCACACTTAACATCATCGTCAAAAACTCCATGTGATGAAATGTGGGAATGACCTTGGGAGACAGGAGGGAAAGCTGCAGATTGGACAACCGGCATGTAAAAGATGTCTCAGTCCACAGAAGGATGTGTGTGTGTGGGAAACATTTCAAAAAGGACCCTCCCTCATCTCCCGGATAGTAAAAGGAAAGGAGGAGAGAAATACACTCAGCCTTGCAAGATTCTGTTAATGTAACCTTACAATAAAGATAGAGTTAGTACCCTTCTGGTTCTTGTCTGCACTACCTCACAGGATTAACTCCATCGATGCAATTAAATCATTCTCTTCCTCCTCCTCTTTATTGTAATTATGTGTACACATCAAATTCCGTCTGCAGATAAATCTGTTCATCTTAAATGCCTTAAATGCCTGTCTCTATGCATCTATTGCTCAGTCGATTTCTCCGTGCCTAGCTGCTACTTTTTTCTCTTACCCTCCTTGGACAATGAGCTATAAAGGAGAGGTAGGCACAGAGAGGAAAATGGATTGAGAAGCACGCACAAAGGTTTCTCTTTCTCTCACTATTTGATTCTAATCATCTTTTTCCATTTTCTAGGGGAGTTTTAGTATTTACAGCATTCCAAGACTGGCTTATATGGCTTATTTGACATGATGCATGTAACAGGACACTTGGCTAGAATCTGAAATATTATTTCAGTGTATTATTTTAACCTCTGAGGTTCAGACAGCATATAGGAGTACATGTTATCTGAACATACTGTATAATTGCTACTTTACAATGAAAATGTAATAACACATGTATTATCAAAGGTCCTAATATTATGGCTACCTATTGGAAACTGGCAAAAATAACAGTATATATACGTAATAGAAGTTTAACCATATTTAAGCAAGAATGGTTCCCATATATGCAATATATCACATGGCATGAGAAATATAATCACTTACAGTCTGGCTTCTAAGGGGGCTTAAATGTGTATAGTATAGTAAGTTAGCAGATGTACAAAGGGGGAACTCAGAAACCCAATAGTTCTTTTTCTTTATAATTTTTTTCAGTATTTTAATTCTTGTTAAATTGGTTTTGGTTAGCTTACATATTTTCCTTTTATTAACTATATAAATATAAATGTGTGTGTGTGTGTGTGTTTATATACATTATACACTGGAGACTTCAGTACTAAGTAACTACCTCAAGACTGAAACCTTTATTGTACAACAAAGACTTCAATGTAATCTGCAGCAGTTTCTTTTTTTTCTAATGTTACACTCAATTTCATGGGAAAAAGTCAAATAAACTGCTTGGAAAGTTGATATCCTAAATTGTAATTAATACTGATGGAGACCCAGTTTGGTGTCATGGTTAAGGGAGACCAGGAGTTCTAGTCCCGCCTTAGGCACGAAGCCTGCTGGGTGACTTTGGGCCAGTCACTGTCTCAGTCCTGGGAAGGAGGCAATGGCAGACCACTTCTGAAAAAATTTGTCTGGAAAACTGCAGGGACTTGTTCAGACAGTCACCAGGAGTCAATGTTTGGGCACCCCAAAATAATAATAATAATAATAATAATAATAATAATAATAATCTTTTTCTTTTCTTTATTTCTAATATTATCTAAATCATAAAAACATAAATTAATACTGTACCAATATCATTGTTTCAAAATAATATAATGTATTAAGATTTATAACAACATAATAAAAATGGAAATAAATAAATAAATAAGCTTGTTATGATATCCCATTCATATATTTTGGCATTGAAGCCTCATGGTAAACTCATCTTCAGAAGTAACATGATGTGCTCATGACTGATAAGGGAAAATAAGTGATATATTAAGAAATACAAAGAAAATAATTTGATATCTATTAAGAATATAGTTATTTAAAAAAAAAATACAATGAGCATGGTCAGAATAAAGCCATGTCAAAATCTGATTCAGTTATGTAAGCTATGGTGTGGCTCCCAGGCTTTTGTTGTTGTTGTTCAGTTGTTAAGTCGTGTCCGATTCTTCGTGACCCCATGAACCATATCACGCCAGGCCTTCCTGTCCTTCACTGCCTCCCTCAGTTGCTCAGTTTCATGCTCATTGCTTCAGTGATACTATCTAACTATCTCATCCTCTGCTGTCCTCTTCTCCTTTTGCCTTCAATCTTTCCCAACATCAGGGTTTTTTCCAAAGAGTCCTCTCTTCGTGTTAGGTGACCAAAGTATCTGAGGTTGAGCTTCATTATCAATTCTTCCAATGAGCAGTCAGGGTTGATTTCCTTTAAGATTGAATGTGTGTGTGTGTGTGTGTGTG